AAAATATAATAGGATTTGATGTAGAGCAGGATAGCATTTCGAGAAATGCTAAGCTATTTTTCTTCTGGAGAAATGCCTGTGATCCGGGGGTCATTCCAAGGAGTAAGAAGACTTACATATGGATGTTTGCATGAAGTTCTGTGGTTGTGCAGTGATTCTACAGAGAACAAATGTGCAGAAGGAACCCAAAGTTTGATGCAGGTGTTCCTGTGGACTTAACTGGCTTTGGGATTTCCCCCTAGCATTTCTGATCTTGTTTGCATACCATTAGTCCTCTGAAGTCCTGACAGATGTAGTACGGTAGAGGTGGGATTCCTATTTATGGAGCTTTCAGGTCTTGAGCCGATAGCTAACTTAGATGTGATGCATTGATTTTCAGCTGGTCTCACTGGCTTCTGTGTGTATAATTACAGCTGGCTAATGCAGCTACTCGATTCCCACCATGGTATTTCACCTTATTCTGGTATCTCATCTAGTGCTGTAATTTGGGAGGATGAACAACTGAGGCTCTGTTACTGTAGGATGAATTTTGCTGACAATGTTCCCATAGCATTGCTTGTCCCCAAATAAAGCAATGCACAGTACTGTATGAGTACTACAGAATCAGACAGGGTTGTAAGATGCTCTGAGCGACCAGCAGAGCTTGTGGGGTAAATAGAGGGGAATAATGAAACCTGACCTTTAAGTATTCTGTATCAGGTTTTTGGGTTTGGCACTTCCCATTACTTCACTGGGTTTTCTAAACAAACTGCTTGACTTGGTGGAGTCATTCAGCTGCTGACTGTATGTAGTTGTAAAAAGAAGTTTACTTAACCATTTCATAACAAAGAAGCTCAAACACAGATGTTGTCAAATATATCACAGTGTCATTGTCAGCTCATTAAATGTTTTACTTCCTTACCAATGCTGTAAAACCAATCATTTTATGGAATGTATTTTAATTTTGCAATTCTAAGATTTTTAATCTTGATGTCAGTTTATTCTTCAAAATATGCTATATGTTATAATTCAGCTTTTGTTTTTAGATGAGAATTTTTGCTGCTGTAAATTTGGGAAAAAAAAGCCTTTGTTTGCTGAAGGAAGTTGGTTTTATGGATCTATATAGCATTGGTGCCTTAATTACTACAAATGGGTAATAAACACTTTTCCATATATGAGAATAGGAGACACGCAGAGTCGCTGTGATTAGGCACAATTGGATTTTCTCTTGATAAGTGGTTAAAAAATGTAAATACTGCAAATAAATGCCTGAGGGTGTGCTGGATAACTGCACTTGGAACCATGAAGCAAAAATGATTTTTACAGGAAGTGCTGCTTCTCTCTGTTGGAGTTGAATACAAGGGAAGCTGAATGCACATTCATACATAAGTTGTATTACTTTTTCATTCTTCATGAACATTTTGTATTAAGGTGTCTGCACACAGATTTCTTCTTGCAAAGAGCAGAAGTTGGCATGAGTGGTTAGAATCCAACTCAAAGGAGTGAAGGAAAGCTTAGGTTTCCATTTCACAAGCTCCATGATGAACAATCCATGTCTTTTAGGGGCTCCACAGATCCCACCAGAGCAAGATCCCACTTCTTCAAATGTAGCAGAAGCTGAATGTAGTGCTTCTGTCAACTTTCAGGAGCGCACACAATTCCCTTTGAGAAACTTCAGAACAAATGGTTGCACTTAGCAAACATGACCCTTGGATTTGAGATTTAATCAATCTCAAATAGGATTTTCCCCGCAGTGGAAGAGCTGTGTCACCAGACTGATTTTTCTCTCAAACATCTTTGAGCAGTTAACGCAAAATTTCTGAACATGCTTAAAAGGAGAAGAAAAGGGCTCAAATTATTAGTAATTAGAAGACTCGGAGCACTGCGACCCTTTCTGACGGATGATGTCTGTTTTCTCAGGGGGCACCAGGGCCTGGTGTTGATGTGGGAAGTTGCCTGCAATGCATGAGTGGTTCTTTCCAAATTTTCTCCCTGTAATTCTTGTTTGCTCACTCCCTGCTTGTTCAAGATGCACATTATTACCACCTTCAACTGCTGTTTAGTTTTCCCTCAGCACAGTGTGTAGCCATCGGCCCTTGAGCCCATCTCAGGCCTTCAAGGGCGTTTAACCAGTAGGAAGTGTGAAAAGTGGGGACTGCAGTGTAATTTAGTTTATATGAAGCTGGGCTTTCATATTCAACCTGATGCTTGTCAACTAAAATGTGCAAACATCACCCCAGGGATTTTGTGAATTCTCAATAAAAGATACATTACTTAGACAGATTTTCTTATTTTGACTGGAGGCAATTAATACTTAGAGGAATTGTTTTTCCTGAGCATTTTCTTGTGGCAGTGGTCTAATGATTTTTGCCTTTCTGATCAATTTTACTTCACCCCTTCTTTGCTGGACTCTGATTACCTGTTGCAGTTGTTTCCCCACAGGCTTTCTGTGATAATCCTCAGTGGAATAGAAGCAAAATACTTGCAGGGATTTAGGTATGCCTTCGACAGGAATTGAAAACCTTTCTTTAGAACAGAATGAGAGTATGTAATGCTGTTTGATTGAGCCATAAATACAGAATGAAGTGAGAAAACGTGTTTTTTGAATGCTTCAGGAGTGTCAACTTCACTTGAAATCAGAAAGAATGATCCGTTCAGCTGGTTGCTAACAAAGACAAGCACCCAGATTTTTAAATTTGTTTCTGAATAGAATATAGTAATGCCATGGTTTAATGTTTTCACACTGTGATTGGCTTTGTTTTAGGGTTGAATGCTTCTAAGGGATGCTGGCTGTTGTCTTTTCTTAGAATAATTCAGACTAGTAGATTTTTTCACAGGAGATGCACAAAAGGCTTTTGCTCTGTTCTATCATCACAACCTTGAAAAGGATTGTGTCACCTGGACCCTGAAGCTGTTTTCTAGAACAGTGTTGTATCTAATGGAGTTCTTGTCTTTCTCAATCTGTATGAAAGCTGTGAAGATCCGGTCTTGATTTCTTGCTTTCTTGAATGCCTGACAAATGCGCAGTTCCTCTCTGCAGAGGGTCTGCACACAGACTTTTGAGAACTCAGGAACTCTGGAAGAAATGGGCAAAAGCAGTGCAGTGCAGGTCCAAATCACTTTGGACTCATGCATTCCTTACAAATTTATAGGAAACTTCATCATTGCTGTACTCTGCTCAAATCTTGCATCTCACTGTGAGTCTTCTTGTTGAAGTTGTCATGCCATAAGTTGGGAAGAGAGCAACAAAAGATAAGTTAGCTGTACCACCCTGCGTATGGAAGATTGCAGGATATATTTTTCCTCATACAAGACTCCCATCATCCCCACCTCTTAAAATGAAGACTGGTGAATAATGGCTTAGTCAAGCAATAAATACATAATCTAATGCCACCTTTGACCCTTACAGCTTGTGTGTAGGTCAAAGATTATTTGAATTATTGTGATTTATGCTTTCAGTCTTATGATATTTTTTAGATAATCTTTGCTTGTCTGTTGGTACTACTAATTATTTAATTAGTCTGTTTTTAGGAGGAAGCAGTGATTCTTCTGACACAACCACAGAGTGCTTTTTTTCTGAATATAAAACAGTTCAGACTGTGTAAGACATTGCATTGAGTTAGGCAAGACTTTCAGAAAAATGTGAATATTTGCATGAGTAAATATGCTGCATGAGTAAACATGCCTATGTAAGTGCTTGTGTTAAATTAACAAACTGTGAAAGGGAACTTGTTTTATTATATGTAACAAGTTTAGCAATGGTGTATCTTTTAATAAATAATGTAACCTTACTTCCTAGTTGCTCCAGAACGTAATTATACAAAGAATTCTTGACAGCTTCCAAATTAATTTCTATCACACTGAAAGGAAAATTTAAGCTTTACCAATGAATGATGACCATGCATCTGAGAGAGCTTCCAAACTTAATGTTATTTCATGTTAAAGTGCATCAATCATCCCTTAAGCGTAACTTGACAAAATAATTTGGTAGTGGCAAATGCTTGTTTTCATGTCTTGGGCTTTTGTTGGTTCTTTACTGTACCCGAGGCAGAGGCTTATGTAGTTTGTGGCAAAGAGCTTTCTGACTCGATAATGAAAGCAAATGTTGTCACTAAGTTCCCCTCCTTTTCTATTCCTGCCTGTTGGCTTGCGTGCTGTCTCTTAGCTGCAAATAAAAGAATGAGAAATTCCAAGTCTGAAGTAGTTTGTATGAAGCTGCATTCTTACACTTGCAGGCTGAGCAGCCAGATTTAGTGTGAGTTAGCAAAATGCTTCTGCAGAGCAACTTTCATTCAAATGCTCTGGATGGACTGACTTTCCTTTTTGGTTATTTCATTTACTCTGCAAAACGAAGTTAATTGTATTGAGGAGCAATGGGTGTCTTGCCGTGGTTTACTTCCCAAAGAACCTCAGTGTGTCTCACCGTTCGTGCTGTGGCTTGTGCTAGCATTTGGCAAACTAATTTTGTGCTCCTTGTTCTCGGGTCCAAGAGACAATTAGGGCAAGTTCTTCTCTTAGAAACTGTTGCTGGTACAAATTGGCAGTGACCCAGCAACCAAGAGAATCAAGTTATTCTGCCTTTACTGGTAAAGCCTTGGAGGTTTGTCACCTCAGATGTGAACGACAGACCTCATCCCTTCCTTTTTCTTTCAACTCATACTTGTCAAATGTGTGTTTATACAGATGTGTTCATCTCGTGTTACTGAAAATCTCAGGCTTGATCTCATTAGATTTTTATTCTGTTGTAAAGAATTTCTGGGATGAAGGGAATGATGCTGGCTCTGGGAGGGATGGTGGAATACATGTAGCCCGAGTGCATGGAATGGTTGCATGGCACAGAATACAGCTAAACTGACACAGCAGTGCTGGGGTGGTATTACCACTTGGTTCCTAGTTAAGTTTTAAACCTGCTGCTTTTAAAACATATGACCCAAATGTTTCAAAGCCACGCTGTTTTCTGTACTGTTATTTAATCCAGTCATCGCTATATTAATTCATATCATTTTAACTTTGCATTTCAGTTCGAATTACCTGAATTATACCACCAACTTCCTGGGAACACAAGCTTTGACCCCTCTGAAGAAAACCTCAGAACAGCAACAGTTAAATGTAAGTGGTACCGAATACATTCAGTAAACAATGAAGTGTAATTGCATGGAATAATGTTTGGATTAGATGAGTGTATCTGAGCCCCAGGGCATTGTGGCAGATGCAATACAAGGCCTAATAAACTACAGGTCCCTTCTGCCAACATTACTATATAAGAGCAATGATAACACTGTCAGATTGAACAGACCTGAAACAGATTATACATATGCACATGTATGCACTAAAGATGCTAGTGAAATGTGATGGAACATCTAGTAAAATTCTTCAGTGGTCTTAATGAAACAACATCTTGCGCTTAACCTTTCTTTCATGTGAGGTTATTTTTAAGAAACAATCCTCTGAGTGCTTGTAGGAAAGTTCCTTGTAATTATAAGAGTAAACACAATGTGTTGCCTGATAAATCATAGGTATAACTGCTCTATTCAGAGAGGAGCTGAGTTAAAACTTTAAACTTACTGAATATACATACTTTTAGTGCAGAAACTGTGCCTTTCTTGCTATGTATTCCTCTCAAAATGCTAGACAAATGTCTCTTGTTTCAGATTGTGGGTGGCCCAGTTGAAGATGTATGCTTTAATTTTTAAAAACAGAAAAATAAGGCAAGTTAATAAAGAGTTTGTGTGTGGGTAGTTGTTTAAAAAGAAGTTTCCAAACAAATTCCAAGAAGGACATTCTTTTGAGGTGACCAGACTGTCATTGCTGTCAGTCCCTTGAGCATCCTGTGCAGGGGGCTGACCTCTTTATTAGAGCTAGCAGCATTGCCTCTAGGATACAGCCCTGACTTATGATTTTGGCAGATGTGATAGATTTGGTAGTAGCCCAATGGACCACGTCTTCATTTTCCCTCTTTCAAGATATCCATTCAAATAAGTATTGTGATGTCTATTGGTTAAAGTATGTATTTGGGAGGGAAGCTGCAAGCATCACTTAATTTTTATGGCAAGGTTAAAAAAAAGCCAGATGTCCAAGCTGAGAACTGCAAGCTGCATGTCATGTGATTTTTAAAATGTTGGTGTGAATGAAAGTCACAGCTCAGCTGTGTGTATGGAGCTGTTCTTTCACTGTGTTTATTCTTCACTTGTGCTAAACACACAAGTTCAAAGTTCAGCTTCCAGATCAACATCAATGTTTCTGGCTTGGATTTTTAAAAACTTGAGATGTAAATGTTCTAAATGGCTCTGTGGTGTGTGCCTTCCTAAGGCCAGAAGCAGGCATGGTTCACTGCAACCTCACGTCTCTGCTGCATCTCCTGCTTCTGGCTATGTAGTTTTTATTTTTTTCCCTGCCTGGGTCCCTTTGTGTCAGACTTATCACTGCTCAGTAGGTCAGAAGCTGGCTGGGTTGCTGTGCTTATTGAGCACTAGAAACCATGTAGAAATGCTTGTTAATTGTTGTTAAATTGCTGGAGTTTCAACACCTGAAATAGATGAAGTGGTTCCTAACTCAGGTTGTAAGATATTAGTCCACAGCATTGTTCACAGTTCTTGAAGGTGGTATTTTTAAGACTGTTCTTTGCGTATCTTATTTAACATATTTGTAGCTTAAGACCAATGAAATAGTGTCAGGTTTTGATTGTTTTTTTCCTAAATGTGTGATATACTCAGAGCTCCTGAAGAGAGAGGGTTTGTTTATGTTGTGGTGTGTTCTCCTGCAGGAGCTCAATATATTAAGCATTTTCCCAAAGGACAGCTGTGGTCTTTAATTAACTTTTTTCCCATAGGCCTATAATATACTATTATACAATATTTGGTCAGTACCTTACTTTTCTACTCTTGTGTAGGACTTATTGGTTCTTGTTTCCTGAGGGAGCATTATGAGTGCAGTCAGGAAGAATGCATCAAATGAAAGTTAATTGTGTTTAAGCTGTAAGGGAGAGATTGAACAGCTAAATATGCAGTTTCCTATGCTGCTAATCCATGAAAGCATAGAAAAAAATACTTCAATCACAGAGGACAAAATATAAAATATGTATCTAGCCACAGAAATCTTCATGCTTGATTTTGAAAGTTGTCTACAAGATGATGGAGGTAAGCACATGCCAGTATTTATAGTGCTTACTTCCTCAGGGAAGAAAAAATTCTACATGCAGTTCGAAGGCTGCTATGATCTTGTTATCCCAAATCTGTTGTGCACAGAAGCAAAGATGATGGATGGCATGTAGGAACTTATCCTGTTACATGTTCATCATAAGTCATTACAATGTAGTTGAGAGTCTGTGGGCAGCTTCATGCCAGAGCCTTGTCTGGCATGGGTGCTTTTGGAGGAAACCAAACTGGTCACATCTGAGACTAGATTGAGAGTATCCTTCTGCAGTTATGAGCATTCTAGGATCAGCTCCATGGCTCACTGATGCAAAATTTCATTTTGTGCAAAGACACGAGTTCCCAAGTGGGTGATAACCTGAGAAATAGCAGCTGTTTCAGAGCAGGATTTCCAATAACCTTCTCATTTGAGATGTCCCTATTGCTTAGAAGACATTTTCATTGGAAAAGCTCCAACTGTCAGCAGCAATTTACCCAGCAGGGTTTTGTTAGTTTGTACCCTAATATGTTTAATGGGGCTTTGTGAAACTGGGTCTTCAGAAGTCTGATCTGAGGAAAGGTATTTTTCCTCTGGTTTTGGTTATCCTGTTCCAGACTCCTATTTTTAGGCTTAAAGCTTTATCTGAACTGAAATTTAGTAAAACAAAAAAAGCCTGTGTCAAGACCTGCATGTCTTCTGTCTTAGTTATGTGCCATCTACTCAAAGCAATCTTCTCTAGTATCGAAATTTCAGGACAGCTTTAATTCAGATTTCTTTGAAAGGTAGCAATAGTTTGTTCAGATTTATGAACCAGAGATCAGAGTGAACATGACTTGAGCGTCCGGTTTGTAACGCAGTGAAAATGTGATGCTTGACCAGAAGAGAGAGAGCTTCATTTCCTTCCACTAAATAGAATACAGAGTATGGGAGAATGTGAGAATGGTGAAGGGAAGCCAGACCAAGTGCTTGTGTATGATAATTTGCTTGAAATCTGATTTGAATGTTGTCACAGTCTGTGGTGTGCTCAGACCAGCATCCACTGAATAAGAGCAGCTCAAAGCACTCCTTAACAGTGAGCATGTGTGTTCTTGTAAATCAAAATAATTAACTGGTGTGCTGGGATCTCATCTGCCAAATACACGTGGCAAGCTACATCACCATTGAGGCTTTATTACTTGGATGGCTGTAGCCTCTAGAGATCTTAATTGAGGCTTCATTGCACTGTTCAAGCACTTAATTAAAAAAAAATCATCCCCTGCCCCATGACTTTAGTCTGCTCTCCAGATGTTGCAAATACCTGCATGATCCTACTTCTGCTACTGAGAGTAACTTTGAAGATTAGTGAGATCAGCATAAAATAAAATTCCAGCTTACTGTGAACTCAGTATTTCTCTACTATTTGTTGTAAGGCCAATACTGATGTTGCTGTTTGACCAAGGCAAATGATTACCAAACATCTGTTCACTTGTTAGAATATGATAAACCTTGTCACAGCAGAATCTGAGAAGCTATGCCTGGTGTTCCTACGATTCACTCTGCATTTTATTATCAATACCATGTGACAGCATGTGACTGATGCTACTTCAAAACAGTAGAAGTATCTTTGCCCAGGGATTTTTACAGCCAATCCAGCTAAATAAAAAGCTTTCTGGAAGAGATCTTTGGGAAAAACAAAATAAATCCCCCCTTCTCAGTGTACAGGAGTTCCCACATGCACCTGCTTGCTGCTTTTTGCAGGACTGCATAGATGAAGTACTGAAAAGCACTGGAGCTTTTCTCTCCTCCAGCACAAAGGCTTTTGTTAAGAATGCAGGCACACAGTGCTGTTGTGCTTCACTTGAACTGCTATGCCTCTAATCCCCAAACAAGATTTGGTTGAGACACCCAGGCTCTTTGTACAAAGCATGTATTAGATATCACTTAGAGATGATATTTTAATTGAAATCTACAAAAATGTGCAACTGCATTCCCAGTTGAAAATGAGGAATATATTATTTAACTCATTTGTAAGCACATACACACAAGCTAGTAATTTTCTTTGATAGTTTTTTATTTGATAGGCTTTTCTCTGTTGGGCATTACAGAGACTGTCCTTTTATCAAATTATTTTCATGTTTTTTTTCCACAGCCTAAAAATGAATATAGAATTGATGCTACACTTTTAATCTCGGCAACAATGTATTATAAAAATCTCTCCTGACAGCAGATGACATTAACTGTGATTAAAATAAGTGGCAGAGGTTTGATGATGAGCTGTAAAGGGGTGCTTTTAACTGCCTTCTTAACCTTCATTTCTTTTAACGAGATGTTAGATAAAACTGCTAGATAAAACTTGGTGTCATCAGGACTTAAGCACACAACTTCAGTTGCAAGGAGATAGAGATGATCGCAGCTCATGTTTGTTCATGGAGAGATCTTGGAAGATATTGTAGGGATTTTTATAAAAAATATTGAGTGGGATTGCTTTCCTGTATAGATAAAGGAGATGCCTGCACGACAAGCACAGTTCTGCATGGAGCTGGGAGCGAGGAATAATCATGCATGTTCATTAATTTGTGATAATCTATGATTCGACACTGATTAAATAACCAATCTTATTCAGTCCTTACAAGGAAAGTCAAGTTATCAGCATTATTACATGGTATGTTCACTGAATATATAAGACCAATTCCTACTGAACTTGTACCTTTCTGCCAATCGAAGGTTACATATGCCATAGAAACCGTCACCAAAGGAGCTCCAGTTAGAATGCCATGGCACTTTGCACTGCAGTATCGGGGATGAGAGCAGGTCATCTTTCAGTGTAACTACATGTGATAGATGCATCTGTGAAGTAGTGACTACATATGATTTTTTTCTTCCTTGTATGTACTTAGGATTGAAATATTTCAGATCAATTGGTAGTGGTGGGGAGGTAAAGGCACAGCTGTACATTTTGAACTGTTATCACCTATCCAAGCCTAAAGCAAATTTGTGGT